TGGGCATCAGTGTCAAAAATCCACGCACTGGTTGGGCATGGTGGTGGTTCATGCCTGTAATGCACTTTGGGAGGCCGAGATGAGTGGATCACTTGAGGCCAGGAGGTTGAGACCACTCTGGGTGTAATGGCAAAACCCTGTCTCTACAAATAATACAAAAATTAGCCAGGCGTGGTGGTGCATGCCTTAGACCCAGTTACTTGGGAGGCCAAGGCGGGAGGATAGCTTGAGCCTGAGAGGCAGAGGTTGCAGTGAGCTAAGATTACACCACTGCACTCCAGGCTGGATGACAGAGTGAGACCTTGTCTCCAAACAATCAAAAATTCCATGCATTTACAGCCAATCCATTTATTTCTGGGTTCTCTATTCTGTTCCACTGGTCTATGTGTCTGTTTTTATGGCAGTACCACGCTGCTTTGGTTACTATAACCTTGTAGTACACTTTGAAGCCAGGCAGTGTGATGCCTCCAGTTTTCTTTGGTTATTTGGGTTTTTTTGTGGTTTCATACAAATTTTAGTATTGTTTTTTCTATTTCTGTGAAGAATGTCATTGGTATTTTGACAGGGATTGCATTGTGTCTATAGCTAGCTTTGGGTAGTATGAACACTTTAACAATACTAATTTTTCCAATTCATGAGCATGGGCTATCTTTCCATTTTTTGTGTGTCTTCTACAATTTCTGTTCTTAACATTTAATTTTATTTTTCTAAAAAAGAGATAGGATCTCACTATGTTGCCCAGGGTGGTCTTGAACCCCTGACCTCAAGTAATCCTTCTGCCTTGGCCTCCCAAAGTGTTGGGATTACAGGTGTGAGCCACCATGCTCAGCCTCCTCTTCAGTTACTTTCATCAGTCTTTTATCATTTTCTTTGTGGTGATCTTTCACTTCTTTGGTTAAGTTTATTCCTAGGAGGCCACATGCAGTGACTCACGCCTGTAATACCAGCACTTTGGGAGGTCGAGGCAGGCAGACCATCTGAGGTCTGAGACCAGCCTGGCCAACATGGTGAAACCCCATCTCTACTAAAAATAAGAAAAATATTAGCCAGGCGTGGTGGTGTGCGCCTGTTGTCCCAGCTACTCGGGAGGCAGAAACACAAGGATTGGTTAAGCCCGGGGAGCGGAGGTTGCAATGTGCTGAGATCACGCTACTGCATTCCAGCCTGGGCGACAGAGTGAGACTCCATCTCAAAAAAACAAACAAACAAACAAACAAAAAATTTATTCCTAGGTAATTTTTTTGTAGCTACTATAAATGGGACTGTCTTCTTGTTTTTCAGCTTGGGTATGCTATTTGTATATAGAAATGCTACAGATTTTTGTATGTTGCTTTTGTATCTTATAATGTTACTGAATTCGTTTACTGGTTTTAAGTTTTCTGGTGGTGTCATTAGGTTTTTCTAAATATAGGATTCATACGGTCTCTGATCAAGTATAATTTGATGTCTTCCTTGTTTTGTTTTTTTTTTTTTTGGTTTGAGATGGAGTCTTGCTTTGTTGCCCAGGCTGGAGTACAGTGGCGTGATCTCAGCTCGCTGTAACCTCTGCCTCCCGGGCTCGAGCAATTCTTGTGACTCAGCGTCCAGAGCAGCTGGGATTACAGGTGAACGCCACCATACCCAGCTAATTTTTGTATTTTTAGTAGAGACAGGGTTTTACCATGTTGCCCAGGTTGGTCTGGAACTCCTGACCTCAAGTGATTTGCCCATCTCAGCCTCCCAAAGTGCTGGGATTACAGGTGTGAGCCACTGTGCCCAACCTTCCTTTCCAATCTGGATGCCCTTTATTTCTTTCTCTTGCCTAAATTCCTCCAGCAAGGACTTCCAGTCCCATGTTGAATTACAGTGGTGAAAACGGGCATCCTTGCCTTGTTCCAGATCTCCGAGTAAAGACTTTCAATGTTTCTCCATTCGGTATAATGTCAGCTGTGGGTTTGTCATATATAGCCTTAAATATTTTTAGTTATGTTCCTTCTAAGCTCACTTTGTTGAGAGTTTTTATCGTGAAGGGATGTGGACTTTTTTCAAATGCTTTTTCAGTTTCTATTGAAATGATGCTATGGTTCTTATTTTTGGTTCTATTATTGTGATGTATCACACTTACTGATTTGCATATACTGAACCATCCTTGCATACTTGGGATGAAGGATAGTTCAGCTGATTATGAAGAATGATCTTTTTTAATGTGTTGTTAAATCTTTTTAAATGTGTTCTATTTGTTAGAATTTTGTTAAGGATTTTTGCATCTATGACTATCAGGGATGTTAGCCTGTGGTTTTCTTTTTTGTTGTATATTTGTCTAGTTTTGGTGTCAGGATAATAATGACCTTGTAGAATGGATTTGGAAGCATTCCCTTCTCTTCAATTTTTTGGAATAGCTTGAGTAGAACTGGTATTTAGTTCTCTAAATGTTTGGAAGAATTCAGCAGTGAAGTTGTCAAGTCCTAAAGCTTTTCTTTCATGGGAGCAATGTTAATTGTTTAAAAAAAAAATTAAGTGTATAATCTAGGTGGCAGGAGATACGGGTGTTCATCATATAATTCTTTCAGCTTTTCTGTATGTTTGAAAATTTTCATAATAAAATGTCAGGAAAGGCTGGGTACGGTGGCTCATGCCTGTAATCCCAGCACTTTGAGAGACTGAGGCAGGTGGATCACCTGAGGTCAGGAGTTTGAGACCAGCCTGGCCAATATGGTGAAACCCCATCTCTACTAATAATAGAAAAAATTAGCTGGGCATGGTGATGGGCACCTTTAATCCCAGCTACTTGGAAGGCTTAGGCAGGAGAATCGCTTGAACCCGGGAAGCGGAGGTTGCAGTGAGCTGAGGTTGCATCATTGCACTTCAGCCTGGGCAACATGAGCGAAACTCTGTCTCAAAATAATAATAATAATAATACTTTAAAAATCAGAAAAAAAGAATTATGCATAATGTTTCCCTTATATTTTCAAAGATTCTATTGAATAAAGAACTGTCTGCTTATTTCCCTTAGGGGCTGGCTGGATCTTGATTTCCACTGCGTTTATATCTATCTTCATTTTTTTCTACCCTCGTCTGTCTGAGGGAATGGAGTACAGTTAACAGCATAAGATTTGGAGCAAGCCTGTCTAGATTCAAATCCTGGTTCTATAGCCAATTAACCATGTGACCTGGGCAGATTACTTAATCACTATGAGCCTTAGTTTCCTGCAGTTTCCTGCTCTGTAAAACAGTCACAATAATAGTACCGCTACATAGGGTCACCCCAGGGATTAAGAGATAATACAAAAAAAGTACTCAGAGTGGTGCCCACCGTAAAAAGCACCTGATAAATGTTAGTTTTTACTACTATCTGGCAAGAGATTCATTAAAATTTTTAATTTCTTGAGAACCATTCTGTTGTTGTTTTCTTATTAGAGAACTCAGATGCAGTAAGTTTTACTTCCAATTATATTCTATGGTTAGGTATACAACCAGGCAGGTATTTATATCTCACCTTATTAAGTCATTCATATATAACCGAGGGAAGTAGCTCACTACTTAAAACTCTGGTTATTTCCCTATGGTTGAACTCTAGACTCCTGTAACCAATTATCTGGCACCTCCATCTTAAACTTAACATATCCTTAACTGTATTAAATTCTTCATCTTTCCCTCCCAAACATGTTCCTCCTGCAGTCTTCCCAATATTAGTAAATAAAAGTAATATTTACTTTTATCCTGAGAAGTTGGCAATTTAATCCCTCCCAACTGCTAGGATAAAAGTTCTGGAGTCATCCTTAACTCCTACTTTTTTGTATCTCCACCTAATCCACAAGCAAATTTTGTCAACTCTACCACCAAAATACGTCCAATATGGGACCATGTTTTTGCTACCTCTTGTTACCATCTCTCTTACAGTTTATTTGGAAGGCATTAGCCCATGCCCACTCCACAGTATTCTATTTTTAACACAGCAGCCAGGGAGGTCTTTTAAAAATATATGTTGGGGAAATGGTCACACGGTACGAAATCTCATTTACGCAGGATGAGTAACTTCTAGAGATCTAAAATGCTGTATGGTAACTACAGTTAACAGTACTGCATTGTATATTTGAAATTTGCTAAGAGAGTAGATCTTAAATGTTCTCACCAAAACATTTAAAAAGTAACTATAAGAGATGACTGATAAGTTAATTAGCTTGACAGTGGTGAATATTTCACAGTGTATATTAAAACATCATGTTGTATATTTTATACAATTTTTGTCAATTATACCACAATAAGGCTGGAAAATAATATGTCAGGTCACATCACTATGCTCAAAACCCTGCAATTGCTTCCCTTTTCACTTGTCGTAAAAGCTTTATCTTTAGGTTAAAAGGCCATACATGATCTGGCCACTACTCTTCCCACCTGCCCTAAATATTCTGACACCTCATCTCCTGCTTATCCCCTTCTTTCTCATACAATCCAGTCACATTGGCCTGCCTGCTCTTCCTTGAGCCACACTAGGCATACTTCCATCTCAGTCGTGTACCTGCTGGCCCTTCTGTGTGGGATGCTCTTCCCCCAGAAATCCACATGGTTTGCTTCCTTACTTCCTTCAAGTATTTCTGCTAACAGTACCATCTCAGAAGCGAGGGCTATTTGACCACTCTCACCTTCCGGCAATTTTATATCCTCCTTCCCTGTATTATTTTTCTTCCATATCAATTATTACCTTTTACTATACTACATCATTAACTTTTGTCTGTCTACACTCACTAGAATGTTGACTGTTATATCCCATCCCCCTACCCACTGTCTAGCAAAAACACCTTGTGTCTAAAAGAGAACCTTGCACACAGCAGATGCTCAATATGAACTAAATAGATGAAAGAATGAATAAATGTACCAGGTAAGAATTCAGTAATGAAAAAAACCACCCTCACAGAATTTCTTGAATTATAATTAGGACTCGACTTCCCACTCTAATTGAATTAATACACCAATGTAGACCACTAAGTAAAGTCAGAGAGAAAATACTGGCAGATTTAATGATGAGAAATGCATTAGAGCCTACAAGGTAGAAAAACTCCGGATTATTTCACCATATGAGGGAGTGGAATTATTCAGTTAGATATCTAACTTCTCTTAAGTTTTGAGATTAAAATAAGAGAAAATCAAGCCTATCATTTGAGTAATAATGCAATTTTTAAAAGTACATTGCTCAGAAGTTTAAAAACTTCTGGTACAGTCCCAAACTGAAGACCCACTTTTTTATTATCTCCTATTGCTCCAGTTTACTAAGGCAGAGATTACTCTCCATTTCTACACTATATCTGAAGTATCTAAATTTTGTCTAGATGTACCTAACTTTATATGCAGTAGGAAAAAAAAGATTTTCTAAAATAGATGTATTTTGTTCACCAAGTAAAATTCAATTCAGTAATGAGAATGTCATACCTTTTTCCACGTGAGTTTTGATCCCAGCTCTTCTCTCCCTGGCTTTCTGAGCCATTTCTCTAAGTTTCTCTTCGTGTTTTTCCTTTTCTTTCTGAGCCATTTTTCTCTCTACTTGGGCACGCATTTCCACAGCTTCACGAGCCTGTTAGTAAAGTCACATGTTAAACAGGACACTATCATGGGATAAATATTTATGGCTGTCATCCAGCTCCCTAAAATCTGGCTGGTAAGAGCAATCATACAGAATTCAGATTTGTTACTGCTAATTAAAACAAAGAATCTTGTCCACTAAAAGATATCCTGCCTGGAAGACACTGCAAGGTCAGCTTTCTTCTCTGGGAATATTTTAGTGATTGAAACTATAGTGACCCCAATTAATCTTGTAAATCAAGTGTTTCACTAATGCTTTCTCAGAAACAATCTAAAAAACAAAAGTAAAGCCAGGCATAGTGGCTCTCTCCTGTAATCCTAGCACTATGGGAAGCCAGGGTGGAAGGACTGCTTGAGCTCCGGAGCTTGGGACCAGCCTAGGCAACATAGTGAGATACATCTCAAAATAAATCAATAAATAAAAAGGGACTGGTTATATTTTCAAAATGAATCAAGTCAACTCAAGATAAAATCTTAACTTACATCTGCTAGATAATTTTTATAAGGGTACTCACTGTGATACAGAAGACTTTTTTAAATGTTCTAAACACATGCTATGATGCGTGTGAACTTCAATATCATTTATTAATTCCATAATATTTATATTTATATATATTTTTTGAGATGAAGTGTCTTACTCTGCTGCCCAGCCTGGAGTGCAGTGGTGCGATCTTGGCTTACTGCAACTTCCGCCTCCTGGGTTCAAGAGATTTTCCTGCCTCAGCCTCCCAAGTAGCTGGGATTACAGGTGCCCGCCAGCTAATGTTTATATTTTTAGTAGAGATGGAGTGTCACCACATTGGCCAGGCTGGTCTTGAACTCTCGATCTCAAGGAATCCACCAGCCTTGGCCTCCCAAAGTGCTGGGATTATACGCATGAGCCATTGTGCCTGGCCTAATTTCATAATATTTAATACATTATACAATATTAATAGATGGCCAATGCTATGAACGCCATTTTATGTAGCATTCAATTCATTAGAATGTTTATCTGTCTTTGCCTGCAACTGCCTTTTTGTGGGACAGCTACATCTAAAATACAGGCAAATTTGAAATCAAGAATTACGAAACCTAGCAGTCTTCACAAAATGGGATCATCCCCAGCAAATCATTATTCTGGCATGTTGTGAGGGAGCCGGATCACCATTGTGGGGTGTATGTACACATCTACAAAGGCTAGGAGCATGCAGAGAGCTGCCAACTAGCAGCTGCCATTTCTGACACACGTACCATGGGTGAGACTCTCTCTGGGTGCTTGGTACTATAGTTAAATTATCAGTACCTTAGGTAACCAAGAATGGATTTTAAAAGTAACAAGAGCATTAAACAAATTATAACCAACCAACCTTCCGATCAGCAATGTAGAGGGCTTCTGCCAGTTTGGCGAAATTTTCATTTATGTGTACTGTCTGTAGTCCTCTTCCATCAGCAGCCAGACGTTTGTCTAATGGAATTGTATAACCCTAGGGTGAAAGCAGACAGAAAACCCAGTCACAGAAGTGCTTCAGTTAATTATTTGAAGTTAAATTAATTTAATTTTTTTCGAGCTGGAGTCTTGGCTCTGTCACCCTGGCTGGAGTGCAGGGGTGCCATCTTGGCTCACTGCAACTTCTGTCTCCTGGGTTCAAGTGAGTCTCCTACCTCAGCCTCCCAACTAGCTGGGACTATAGGCGTGCGCCACTACAGTCAGCTAGTTTTTGTATTTTTAGTAGAGACAGAGTTTCACCATGTTGGCCAGGGTGGTTTTGAATTCCTGACCTCAGGTGATCCACCCTTGGCCTCCCAAAGTGCTGGGATTACAGGCACGAGCCATCAAGCCTGGCTAAAATTAAATTAAAATATGCCCACATTTTAAGACCCACTTAAACTTAACTGGGGTTCTTTTTCCTTATATCTTTCTTCACAATGACGCAAAATAACAGCAGCTATCAATGAATGCTTTATGCAGAAGATCAAACACATCTATGGTCTCATTTAACCTTCATAATAACTCTATAAAGCTTCTAACATTATTGTGTCCATTTCACTGATGCTTTGGTAACATCCCCAAGGTCATACCGTTAAAATAAGTGGACGACTAGGATTTAAACTCAGACAGTAGGATTTCAGAACCCAACCTCTGGAAAAATAGATACTTGTGCTGATAATTGTGGATTTTAATAAAAGGAAATCAGTGTCAAACAGTTCAACAGTTGCTTCTCAAATAAATGTAACAGTCAAACAAAGGCAGAATAAATCACTATAATCTTAGCATCTATAGGAAGTTAAATCTGCTGTACTCTCTTAATGATCTGTTATATTCTTAAAACCCTGAAGTTTTAGTAAATAGAAAAAAAAAGGCTGGGTGCAGTAGCTCAAGCCTGTAATCCCAACACTTTGGGAGGCCAAGGCAGGTAGACTGCTTGAGCCTAGGAGTTCAAGACCAGCCTGGCAATATGGTGAAACCCTGTCTCTACCAAAAATACAAAAAAGTAGCCAGGTACGGTGGGGCACACTTGTGGTCCCAACTACTTGGGAGGCTGAGGTGGGAGGAATGCCTGAGCGTGGGAGGTTTAGGCTGCAGTGAGCCATGATCATACCACTGTACTCCAGCCTGGGCAATAGAGCGAGACTCTGTCTCAAAAAAAAAAAAAAGAAAAGAAAAGAAAAGAAAAAGAAAAAAGAAAAAAACCGTTTGCTAAACCACTGACATTCTACATTCTAAAACTTTGCATCCCATTTCAATAACTCAAGAACTATACTTGAATATCTATGTAACTTTCAGGCTTAGTTTTATTTTCCAGATACCTGACTAGTCTCTCAAATGTTGACCTTTAAGTCCATGGTCTCATAAAAATGAAGCGTTACAGAACCAGCTCAAGATACCATCCAGTTACATAATATTCATGAACTCGAATCAGACCAGTCAACAACCTCTTTGTTTAGGGTGAGTACATAAATTCTCTTAAGAAACCTGAAATGGCCTTCTTTATCCATCAAAAGTAAAACCATGAACTATGATTCAGGGAAGAGGAAAGAGTAATTAGGGAATCTATCTCACAATCAACAGATTCTTAACAACTCCTAGAAACTTTGGCGATTATTAGAGACATATAGCTTAAGCCTTCACTACTACAGAGTCAAGTAGTTGAATATATAAGCACTTAAAGTATCCAAACATTTACTCTGTTCTTGTCATATAATCTTTTACACCAGTTTACTTTCTTTTGGAAACAATTTTTAGACATAAATTTGAGTTTTCTAAATACCATCTTGTATTTATATGGCACTTTATTATACTTATTCCTTCTCTATGTGTTTCTGCTAGCTACAATTCACTAAAAGAACTGATATGGGGCCAGATGCGGTGGCTCACACCTGCAATCCCAG